TGTTGTGAAATGACCTTGAAAGATTATGCTCAGGTCCATTGGCAAGAGTTTACTTGAACCTAAAATTGTCCGCAATCAGTGTTTTAGGAATTAAAGAGATGTTTCCTGTTAAAAGTTCATTTGATCTTCGAATGACTTTAATTGGCATACTCAAGGTCATGGGCAGACTTGAAAATGCTCTTTTTATTTCGTGTGTCAAAAATAGAGATAGCCATTTATGAAAACTGCCTTGACCTTCAAATAACCTTGAAGGTCATAGTCATGGTCACGTTGCAGGTCACCATTAGGTGAATCTTTTCAAACCTCACAACATTTTTCTTTATGAAACATACTTTTCAAGATATTTTGCCCTTTATCTACTTACTACTCATGAACATAGTAAACGTCATGGGCAAAGACTTGCATTAATGTAAAATTTCCTGTCTTGACCTTCAAATGACCTTGAAGACGAAGGTCAAGGTCACGTTCAAGATCACTAATTGATGACTATTTTCAAACCTTACAACTTTGTTCTACAACATTCTTCTCTAGGAAACGTATTTTCTGAGATATTTTGAACCTTCTATACTTCTTGAACGCCCTGTACATTTTCGCGGATAAAACCAATGCATATAACCTTCCTCGGGTATCAATTAGTAAGTGTACAAATGATGATGCTGCACATTTCTTAGAGAGATGATGCTGATTCTGATATACTGGTTCCGCCATTATGGAAATCAGATAATTTTGATGATAGGTCCATAATCATAATCAAAGAAGCTTCGATTTTCTGCATTTTTGCTACTCCCACTACTGATTTTAAATTTTTTTTGGGGACGATGAAAATATGGGGTTGGGGTTTGTAGATGGTGGGGAGTTATGAATATTACATCTTTGGTATCAGTGAATAATATTCTATGTATTATTAATAAGCTTCTGATTTCGGTCGTAGTACTGCTCACCTTTTAGACATCACAGTAACACATATTTTCCATGCATGTGCCATTGAAGTCACACAATCAGTATGGTCTGTGGTTAGAGTCATCAGTATTAGTGTGTTTTTACGTAACCTTATACATCAATATTTATTGACGACCAGGTTAAATATCACATTCTATGAAGTTTTCGATTCCATTTGTGTCCGTTGAATAAAACCGACAAATTTTAAAACTTTGAAATGTTGGTACCGTAGCGAAGGCGTAGGAGCTGTATAGTCAATCTGCTTGACGTCATCTTATTACAGCTGGCGATTCTGGCGATCTAGAAGAATTCCTAGCAAGTGTTACAGTGCCACCTCCCACTCAAAAAGTCACCCCCGCCGTGGAACTAACCCCTGAAGAAATAATGTCATACATTATCCCCCCGCCACCCTCACAAGCCAGTCTGGAGAACCTCACGAAAGCAGGGGTGGATGAAAAAGATCGAGAAGAAGGAGAAACGAAGATGGTAAATGGAAGTCTGGAGGTTAAGGGGGAGAGGGAGAGAGTGAGAAGACATAGTGAATGTGGAGGGGAGAAGAATAATGTTATAGAGTATGCTACTGTCGATAGGAAAGGTGAGTTAATAGCCTCATTCGGGTTCTATAAGGAACCATTTCAGAACCGTTCAGATACTTCTAGATATGTTATCGTGATTTACCAGCCGAAACGCATGTGGCTAGTGGTAATCCCTCATATTTATCTGGCCAATCCAGACCACATGTGTTGAAGAAACTATTTTACTGTAAAAGTTTCGGTCACAACGGTGACCTTCTTCAGTACTTTTTTTTTAAAAAACCTACAAGAATTACATAACATACAAATATTTAAACAAAAGGCAAAGATTTGCATTTCCAATGATTTTCACTCTTCATGAAATATTCCTTTAATTTTCTTTTAAACATCTTCAAGTTACAAGTAGACTTTATGCCATTATTTAGTTGATGATATTCAAGTAATCCCTTCTGAAATATTGATTGGCTAGTTATATTACTATTGAAATTTTATAACTGAATATCTATATTTTCTCTTGTATAATAATTGTGGTAATGATTATTCAATTGTATGTGGTGTTCTAAATGTTGTGGCAAAAGAGAAATATAAAAATAAGAACCAAATATATGAACTGTTTTATATTCAACCGCTGCAATTCTTGTAACATATATTTTATTTTCGTTTAATTAGTTATATTCAGTATTATCCATAGCTTCATTCTGTAATTTCGAGAATACAGCTTCATTGGCAGTGATCAAGACGGTTGAACAATATAGTAAATGGGGTAGAATTATTGTATTATATAAACGATTTTTTCGGAATATGTACTAAGACTACGGGGCTTATAAAGTAATTTTTTGGCAATTTTTGAAATATTGTATTCATAGTGATCCTTAAATTGTAGTTTACTATCAATATATATATATTATATTTATTCGACATTTTCAATTATTTTACCATGTATCCTGACTGTGATAGTATTTTCATTTGTTTAATTTCTTATTAGCATGCATTTTGTTTTAGAAGCATTCAATTTTAGCATATTTACATTTAACCAATTTATAATTTTTGCCAAGTCAGAATTTAGAATTTTTAAAGCAGTGTCTATATTTTCATCTGATATGTATATTAACGTATCATCTGCAAATATCTGAATTTTCTAATAATCTAAAGTATCACAAATTTCTTTAATGTTTAAAATAATTAGTAGTGGATCTAGTTTACTACCTTGTGGTACATCAACAGAAATTTTTGTTGAGCTTGATAATGTAGATCCAATTTTGGTTATTTTACAATATATATTTTATTTATCCTGACTTCGACATTTAAAGTGTTTGTCTTGTGAGAAAATAATATGACACAACAGTTTGCGCGTTTGCGACCCAACAACAAACGATGAGAAAAACCAGGATAAAAAACCCATGATCCTTTCCTTCAAGGGTGTTCAACCGAATTGGATCACAGTCAGAAGAATTAGAAATGCAGTTATTGCTTCATTTTATATAGGAAGGTGGTTTACCTTTCTTTTGTAATTGCTAACCTCTTTGTATAGTTTCCAGACTTCCTCCCATTTTACTCCTGTTTTCCACACATTTTCGCTTAGTAGTGATTTTATTATATAGTCTTTATGTTCCTTAATTCCACATTTAACACGTCTTGATGTTTCACCGATGTAGCATTTACCGCAGTCACAGCCTATTTTATAGATTGAATATTTTTTCATCAGTATGTTTTGACTACTGGTAGTTCAGAACGATTCAGTGATAGTCTCCTGTAGAAACTCGAATGAAGCAAACAATGAGTATCCCAGCTTCATAATGATGTATCAATTATTGGTATTGAATAGTTTTAGTACCTCAAAAAGCTCTGAAACCCGATTTTCGAGCGTATCCTCGTATGAATAATATGACATAATTTTCCAGGTCCCTTTTCATGTTGCGGCAAACCAAAGCCCTCCCACTCCTCATCACCGGTGTCTTCTAGCGACATTGACGTTCGACCTCCGCCCAGACGCAGCTTGAACGAACGCCCACCAGACCGGCCACCCAAAAATGGTCAAGCGATGGCCGCCCAAAATGGCCAAACGCTGACCGCTCCCTCACTGCCCGAAAGGCAAAGGTCGCACTCGCTGTCTGCCGTACCCCCAAGACCGGCTGCGCAAGTGCCACAGCAGCAGAATGGAAAGGGGAAACAGGATGGAATGGTAAGAATAGATTTTTTTAAATATAAGGAATTATCGCATTTAATGAGCTAACTGTCTAGTGTGCGTGGATTTTCAAGAATCGACAGTTCTTGGAATCCAGGAAATTTTTGGAATATTTGTAAATTTTTAAAATATTTGGAATCTCTGGATGTTTTGAAATTTGAATTTTTTGAGACTTCTGGAATTATTCGAATTTTTTGGAATTTGTGAAATTATTGGAATTGTTGGATTTTTTGAATTCTTGGAATATTTGGAATTTTGGGAATCGTTTGAATCTTTTGAATATTTGGTTATTCTTGGAATTTTTAGAATCCTTGGTATATTTGACATTCTTGGAAACTTTGGAATTTTTTGAATCTCTTGAATATGTGGAATTTTTTGAATCGTTGGATTTATTGGAATTTTTCGATTCTTGGAATATTTGTAATCTTTGAAATCTTTAGAATTTTTGGAAATCTTAGAATTTTTTGAATTCTTGGAATTTTTGGAATTCTTGGGATATCTGGAAATTTTGGAAACTTCTGGAATTATTCGAATTTTTTTATTTTTTGGAGTTTGTGAAATTATTGGAATTTTTGGATTTTTTGAAATCTTGGAATTTTTGGAATCTTTTGAATTTTTTAAATATTTGGCATTCTTGGAATTTTTAGAATCTGTGGTATATTTGACATTCCTGAAAACTTTGGAATTTTTTTAATTTCTTGTATATGTGGAATTTTTTGAATCGTTGGATTTATTGGAATTTTTGGAATTATTGGGATATTTGTAATCTTTGGAATATTTGGAATCTTTAGAATTTTTTGGAAATCTTAGAATTTTTGGAATTCTTGGAATTTTTGGAATTCTTGGGATATCTGAAAGTTTTGGACTATTTGGAATTTTTAGAATCTTTGAAATTTTTAGGAATTTTTCGAATTCTTTGAATATTTTTGTAATTTTTTGAATTCATACAATATTTGGAATTTTTGGATATTCTGAAATTTTTTGAATTTTTGGTGATCGAGAATTTTTGGGATGTATTACTGAAATTTTTGAACTTTTAAATTTTTTATTCAGTGGCATTTTTTATCTTCTTGTACTGTTAGTTAATGTGCTAGGAATAGAAAATATTAAGCCGTTTCAGGCACTGATGAAATAATGATCCTTAATACTTTCATTCGTTTCAGCCATCCCACCTGTTTCTACCCCCTAAGAAACCCCCTTTGCCACCCGTACCCCCCTTGGAAGTTTTGCGCCAGAAGAAGACCCATTTAGACGCTGTAAATGACACCCCCTCACTGCGTACAGCAGGCATTGGTTCCCCCCATTTGCAACGCACCAGGATTCAAAGGCAGGACGTGGAACAAATGGAGGCTGACCAAGTTTCTGGAGGGAAAGTGACTAGGAGTGGGAGTGTCAGAAGTAATGGAAAAACCGCCATCAGCACTCCTACGTCGCCTTATTTGGGTAAGTGCTTATACTCGGGTACCAAAACAGAAAAGATTAGCATAACAAATCGTACGCCACTGCTAGGGCGGCATGGCGCGCATAGATTGCGCTGTAAGTGTTTTGCTAGTTTCTTCCGTGTCGGTACCAGAATGCAGTTGCTTACTATATAAAAAATGTTGTCTGGTGTTATTCCAGAATTGTCGGATTCACATAGAAAATCAAAATATAATGTGATGCGTTCATATAAATGTGAAAATTGCAGGTCGCGGTGGTGCTCCTCTGACCGCAGTTCCTGTTCATTTAGACTCGCCGCCTCTCAGCAACGGTTGCGCAATGGGAAATCCTGCGCGAGAAACGCTGCTGACTCGCGCGGATACCGCAGTCGCACGTCTAGCGGCGTCTTTAGAAAAGTCCGCTGCGCAGTGTGGAGCTGCGCATAAAAGAGGAGGTGGACCCCTTATATCGGAAGAAAAATTTCAGGTGAGTGTTTGTAGATTTGAACGGCTATTCTGTTTTGATTTACTCATGTAATAAAATATATCAATTTAACGCGGTAGAATTTAAGAAGGGTTCCAAAAGGCCCCATTTTCTACATCAAATTTGGCTCTACTATTTTTAGTATATAAATACAGATCTATAAATATTCTGCAGTCTCCTGTGAGAAAATTATCAAAACCATCTGTGTATTTATGATTTCGACAATGAGTGTGTTTAGCCTACGTAAAGCAGTCCAGTGTTGCAGCACTTTTATGCTGAATAGCAGTGACACAAATAAGATGTTTTGACAGGGTTGCCATTCTGGAGGATTTTCTCCCAAATTTAGGGGATTTTTACTTGGGGAGCTCTTTGGGGATATAATGTTCTGGTGGAAATCAGACGTTTCGCGGATAGAAATTGCTCTTTGAAGCAAACCTGACTGTCAAAACCATCTGTGTATTTATGATGAGTCTGTTTAGCCTACGTAAAGCAGTCCAGTGTTGCAGCACTTTTATGCTGAATAGCAGTGACACAAATAAGATGTTTTGACAGGGTTGCCATTCTGGAGGATTTTCTCCTAAATTTAGGGGATTTTTACTTAGGGAGCTCTTTGGGGATATAATGTTCTGGTGGAAATCAGACGTTTCGCGGATAGAAATTGCTCTTTGAAGCAAACCTGACTGTTTCCATTAATTAACTGTGATTTGGGAAATATCCAAGGAATCTCAAGACTTTTTAAAAACCCGTACCGGATAGCCACCGGATGCCTTCTAAGCTAGGAATTATCCGGGGAATCCCGGTCGGATGGCAGCCCTAGGCTAGAAACCTCCGCTATATACAGTCGTCACTCCTAGCTGCTTTGAAAAAGGCGCTGTAAAAAGTCATTTGAAGTGTATTCGCTGAAGCTGGGTTAGGCACACACATGTGTTTCTCCAGCGGCAAAAAATCAATGTGTGCTCTTGGTACACGCATTTTTATTGACAGTGACAGTTGACTCACCTAACAATAAGTAATTTTAAGCAATGAACCAATCATAACCGATCGTGTTTGGTTTTGACTTTTTCGTTTTAAGTGACATGTGTCTTCTTGTATGTCACACGTCAATCCACGAATATAACAACAACCCTTATATATTCATCTTTTGTGCCTCTTGTGTTCTTTTATGCCATTTGAGACTTTATTGTAAAAAGTTATCAGTAGTAGTACGTACATCTATATTTTAGTGTTTTCGAACAAATTGTGTATTAGCCGACTTTCGTCAGTAATTTGTCATAATGATTAATTCACTTTGTCAACTTTTGAGGATGTCAAAAAAAACGTAATCACGAAAGAAACAGAGCAGGCAGCAGCGGTGGCCGCAGTAGTAGACTCTTCGGTCTCCTGATCAGTCACCGTGCGCTGTGCGGGTTCGAATCCCGTCCCAAGAGAAATTTTTCTCTTGGCTATAGATGTTGTGATTGTCCGTAGGTGGTAGATGGTCACTGATTGTCGAACGCGGAGGTACCACCCGGCGGATTTCGTAGGCGGGGCCAGAGTGTGTACATATTGCATGCACACGGGTTCCCTGTATCCCCCTGTATCCCCATATAGCCCCACGGTACCCATGGGTGTTTAGGCCTTAGGCATTCGTGGTAGCTAGAGTATAAAAAAATAGCAGTTACGTCTGTTTTTTAACTCTCTTTTCTAGATGATATTTATTGCAATGATTACAGAATTAGGAAATAAGGGTGCACGCGTTCAACTCTGTACGATCAAATAACTACGCCACTGTACAGACATACACGTTGTAGGCTGGCTGCTGGTGCTCCAGAATGTTTTTAGTACTGCATCTGAACGAGAGAGATAGGGAAATATACCTGCTCTGTGTCCACCCACCTCCCCTCTTGCGCACTGCGCGGCTCACCACTCATGCCTTCTGGCGGGGAGGTATCGTAATCGCGAAAATCTAGAAAATTAAATATTATGTTTTTTTTGGATGTTACATGACATCACGAAAAACCATGTCACTCATTTCCTTCGTTCTGTCTGTCGATCCGTCCTCTAATCTTATAACCGCCTATAACTTGAAAAGTACCGGTTGGATTTCAATGAAATTTTCACACAATGTTACTATTATGCCAACGACTCAAAAGCTTTGTTTTTGAAAGTCGGTCCAGTGGCGGCATAGAAAAAGGCCAAATAGGAAAAAGAATGAAAATAGCTGAAACTTCGTTTTTGACGTTTCAAAAGATCCTTATCATTTTTGAACAAAATATACAGAGGAAAAAACTTGGTAGTGGGAGTTGTAGGGGGGTGGGGAGGATTTATGTAAATTGTTCGATATTAGTACATTTACAAGCTTAACCCTTAAAACTAGCTAGAAATAAATTCTCAGCAAACGGATCGCGTATCTACTGGCGCCGGCCTTGGTAAGTTCTATTGTTCTGGTATGCTCTGACCTCGCTGCCACGTCTGACCGGGTTAAGGCGACGTTGCCAGATGCACTACCGGCAAAGCAGGGAAAGAACGTCTATGGACTAATTGTATGTACCTGTTTGACTGGCTTTTCTCTCAGAGGGTCTAGTTTGATCTGAACATTATGAATTGATAACGGCGTTACTTGGGAAGTGCAGAGTCAACTTACTCGACGTCAGAAAGATCGTAGGGCACGTTTTTAATATCAGATTAAACTATTTACTTTTATTTGAATTACATTTATAATACTTGATGTTGGACCATAAAATAGTTGAGTGTCTCAATCCTATTTTCAGATATGTTCTGTGTAATGAGGGCAGAACAATCAAGGGCACAACCAAGATTCATCACGGGTATTGGCTAATAATTATATTTGCTTTTCAGAGAGCCAAGGAAGAGCTAACCCAACAATCTCTTCAACTAGTAACCTCAAGCAAAGTGCTGGTGGTAGCATTATCATCGTCGACTGAACCTGCTTCTGCCGCGCGATCTGACGATGCGACCAACGCTAGCAGCCTCTCCGAAAACCTGGCCGTTTGTGTAGCCTTATTGCGACGTCTATCGTCTCTTTGCGCAGATATGGCTGACCATGCTACAGCGCCTTTGCAGACTAGAAACCTGATTATGAAGGTATGATATTAAGTAAAAGTCAAACATAATTACTTCTTACGTCACTGGCGAGGAAGTATTGTAATCGCAAAAATGTCCGAAACTGAGATAGTATAGTTTTTTAGATGTTATATGACATGTACATCACGAAAAACCATGTCACTCATTTTTGTCGGTCTATCTATCAAACTTTGCTTTTTGACGTTTCAAAATTTTTGTAGGCAATAAAAATTGGATGTGGGGGCGGTAGAGGGTAGTTGACTATACATCAATTTCTTGGTGCTAGCAATTTATATCTTTCTAACCCCAGTAACTCTCCGCACCTTTTATGCATATTTCATACATCATAGATTTCCCCGTATATTGCCCTCAAAACTTGAATAATAGAGATATATTTTCAACCTACGCGTGACGGACAACTCGTTAGCGTATGTCTGTCTGTTGCGACTGCTGAGGGATAACGGATCATGTATATGTGTACGCAACGTCGTGCTGCATTTGCGAGTGTTACGGCACGCAGAGTTGCCACGTTGCTGGGTGATCGGTACTGTCGGTGGGGCGGCTGGCTAGATCACAACGTTGCTTATAAATTCAAATGGCAGCCACCATCTTTGTCGGCAGATTCAGAGTCAGGATGCATTTTCGTATATGACGTCAATTGGTTATGAATATTTCAAATGGTATAAGCTGCTTCTCTAACGTGGGAGAAGTAAACGAGCACTTCGAAAACCTGACCACCACTCATTTTTTGGATAAAAGGTTCTTGGATATCTGAAATGCGATTTGACTGTAAATTGATATGGCCAAGACAGCGACCTCAGAGGTCAGTTTTGTTAATCTAAATCTTTCATAGAACCTTTTGTCCAAAAAATGCGTTTTTTCCAATTCTTTGGGGTGTCCGGATGATTCCACCATTTAAATATAGGCAAATTCGACGACGATATACCCTTCCTCAGATAAAAAAATTAGCAAGTGTACAAGGTGTTGTTCAGACGGGATGCTGACGGACTAGAGAGACATTCACATTTATATGTGGTTCCGTTAAAATGTTGAATAAAAACTATCTATTTCCAAAGTAACTATTGCATCACTTTGAACATTGCATTTCTTTCTCCGAAACTAATGCAAAATGATTGATTGATGAAACTTTTAGAGGACTCAGTTGTCTTGAAACTTGGCTTGTTTCACAAATTATTGAACTAATGGAGCTTCGGCACAGGTATTACGTATATTGAAAAGTGACAGTATATCGATTTTTTTTTGACATTATATTGGTTTTTTGTGACATTATGTAGGTTTTCCTACAAGATGTTAACATAGCATTACCTGATGGACACGTTGTGAACTTGTTTTGTAGTTGTACGTGTTGCCTAAACGTCTGCTTCAGAGATGGCATTACTAGAGGTAACGGCAATTCATAGGTGCATAGTGAGGATTTGTGTGCTAATAATATGTGCTAACAGTAATTACACAAAACGCGGGCGCGTAATTCTCCTCATAATTTTTGAAAAACAAAAAAAAAATGTAAAAAAAATGTATGACTTTGAACATAAACTGTCTTCAGAAAGGCTAACATATAAATAACCCGTCGGGCACAGCTAATAGATATACTTCATTGGCAGCATATTCACTAATGATTTTCTCACACAGCAAATATCACTGATTTTATACATATGCAGCCCAATACACACAATCATCCAGTTGCGATCTTGCTATTCAACCAACTGTCTTCTCAGAGAGGAAAAATATAGGCTACTCGAATTCACAAAATATTTGCAACCAAGAATGCGTGTAGTACAACGATCCTGGTGAGCAAACGTGGAATGAATGTTTGCACCCTAAAAACTACCTAGTCTGCAAAATGACATTTTATAGCTTTTTTTGACGTTTTGTAGGTTTTTTTACATAATACCCGTGCCGATGGTCTCGTCACATGGATGCTGAATAGGCTCATATTAATTAGTAGTAAATACTACTTGACTTCATTTTCTCAGGGATGTTTTTTCTTTCAGGTATACGACGTGACGACTGCTTTCAGACAGCTGTTAGCAGCTCCACCTGCTGGCGGGGTGGACTGGTCCTCAAAGTCAGCAGTTGAGGAGCACTTGACGGCACAAGCGGAAAGACTAGCAAACGTACTAGCTGCACTGTTGCGTACTCTCAGGGTATTCTCTCCTTGAAATACGGTATCTGAATGTTATCGAAGGAAGATATGAAACAGTTGAAATATTTGCCATCTGTAAAAAGAGTTCATAATTTGTTATTCCAACACTTTTGAAAAGCTTGGAGTTCTCGTCCAGCTAATGTGGAAGTGAAAATGGCAACTGCTTGTCCAAAAAGTATTTTTTAACAAATCGTTACTTTGTTCACATAAAAAGACGACTATAAGCTTTTTTACGAAATTCGGAATACTTTGTGTGGTTGCTAATATCCTTAAAATGCAAACTATACCTTTATATCTACTTTGATGAAGTTATAAGATCAAACATTTGAATGGTTGACGAATCATGTCATTCCAAAAATAAATAGACTGTATAAGATCAAAATAACCATGAAAAAAATCGTAACCAACAAGACTCAAGTAAGAAACTTATGTAGGAGTGTTAGAATCTCGTTTTACTGAAAATGTATTATATCAAGATTTTTGAAATTTTATTATGACTCCAGTAATTAATACTTAGTCAAAGAACCTTTCTTATAGCCGTAAATGTTAATCATTGTTTTGTGTTATACAAAAAGCAAAAAATATAACTCAATCTACGTTAACTTTGCGTAGTACTACTATAGGGCTGTCGTACATTTGGCCACCGGTGTCAACGTCAGGAAAGCAACTAGTAGAGCAGCCACAAGTTGGGATAGCAAATTGAGTGTTCAAATAGCCAATTTCGAGCCACAAACCAAGGCAGCCGCTAATTGTAAATCCAAAGAGTGATTATAACTAGAGAAGACAGACAAGGCCACTAAATTAAAGTCAGATAGAGAGAGATAGAGATAACCAAGATGTAACCAAGAACTTGGCGTCTATCTCTGATCTTTCTCAGGATTTGTCAGAAGCCTGGCTACTGACTGGTCACCCTTTAAAAGAAACAGTTTTGATTTGGGGTCTGTCTTATGGTATTTACAAATATATTACAGCTTTGTGTGCATTTTCATACTTCACAACTCTGAACAAAAGGTACAGGATATGTTTCAAATAACATAACAGGGACTTTATTGAATTAAAATGGATTGTTACAAAAATGGCATGCTGAAAAATATAAGGTTAATTTAAATTTGACCAATCAGACAACGTCATTTGTAAATGAGCTGCCGCTGCCATTTTTTGAGGGTGCGACATGGTTGTCATATTGTGTACCAGCAACACTGCTTTGTTTCCCAGTCGCCCATATGAGTTTCACCCCCCTGGCTGATGGCCTGTAAACACGTATTTTGTTAGAGATAAATACCATGTTGCCAGGTGGATAATTCTTTTTGGATGAACTTAAGGCCGTATCTTTAGTGGTTCCTACAATTGTAGTACACCTTCATGGTCTCCTTGATTTTCATAGTTTTCTACTGTACTGTGCCAGCGCTCTATTTTGAGATTATGTTACAAATATCTATTTGCATCAAATTGTTCATGCTATTGATTTATATCATCTGTTATATCAGCCTGAAATTCAAAAAGAATCTTACAATAGCGCTGACGCTGACACGGAACAGTAGATATCTAATAATACTTCAGCCTTTTCTGAAGGAGAGAAAATGGTATCAAAATCAAGGAGGCCATAAAGGCGTCCTTCAATTCTAGGTACGACTGACGATACGGGCCTCATCGTCCATCACTCGTAATGGAAGCATATTTTGTTCAAATCTACTTTTGTTTCGACATTAATTCATGGTGAGGATATTTACCATACAGTTGCGGCCTAGGGAATATATTTTTCTTTCAATAAAGTTTTAAATAACAGTTTCCACGAATGCTCTTGGCATCATGGAAATATATAAGTTACCCTGAAAACATAATAAAAAGAAATGTTAGTTTGAAAATCTTTTTTTTTCAGCCTAAACCTGACATAATTGTTATCTAGACAGCCTGGCATTAAAACGATATATTCACTTATTACGTATGTCTTTTAGACACAACCACCACAAATCGGAAAAGAACTGAACTCAGCTCAGTCTAAGTGTAGCGTTTTGTAAACATTTTGCAAGCTTGGCAACACCGCCTCGGTCATTTATGAGCGAAATTCTTGTATTATTGACACAATGTCAAGCAATAGCTCAAGAACCGACAGCAAATTTTTGGCTACACCATCGTGTTCTGATATGATACGATTAAAACTGGTCAAATCTTGAGTATTTTGATAACTAAATATCGAAACGTCTTCTTTTGATATAACTACTCTTTGGTGCCACCGTGGTTAGCCCGATAAACTGTAAAAAAAGTCCGTATGTATCGCAGAGGTAGCGATAGTTGATCAGACAAAAACTTTTGATTATATATTTTTGTGAATTTACATCCTTGTCAAAGCTGCACACTCACCATAAAATTAAATACGAGGATCGGGTGAAATGTTCTCGGCCTGACAAAGAAATGACGTTCCAGTCAGCCAATAACTCATAATTCCTTGTTGGATGTCCATGTAATTTGTTTGATAAGCTTCAACTTATTCTCAAGTAGTTTATTCACACGATTTATTTATCGTGCACGTCTTGCGTGGTGTCCATCAAGATGGATAAAATTGAATTACGTGCTATTGTCAAATTCCTCATGTTGGAAGGATTATATCACAAAATGCAAGTTCAGAGTTATTTAGGAAAATGTTATTTGATTTGATATATTTTCCTTTAGTTTATGGTTCTGACTCAAATCAGAAAATATTGAATTAGTCTTGGGATACTGAAAAATTATTAGTTTCTTAGAAAAAGTGCAAAAAGATGTACATTAACTGAAAATTAAACTGAGGTAGAATAATAGATACGTAGAAAGAAGCGTCAACTACTTTATTATTTGAAACATAATATTAACAAAGTGTACAATATTAAAAGATACGCGTTCAAAGTGTAATTATTTTCTTCTTTGGATTTGGTAAGTTCAGTTGTTCTTCTCCTTCGTAATACCATCAGTATTCCTTATCTACAAACTTTATTTGATTATTGAGATTGTTTTAGCTTTTCTATAGTTAAACCTCCAAACTTTTCTGTTATCTTTATTGGCAGAAATTTAGGGCGGTCCCGGTTTTTTTGCATTTTAATTCTCAAATCAACCTTTAGGGATGGCGTGTATGTTTTTACGCCGATGCTGCCACACAGGCAGTAGCCTAAATGCCTGGGCTGCTATGAGGAGCTTAAAGATACCCTGTTAATCCAATTTTTGGACTGCTTGAGGTTAGGAGAACTGGGAAAAGTCTCCTTATGTAGATTGTTCCACACTATCGATACTCTAGGGGCAGAGGAGCGGTCGTATCGGTCAGCTATGATGTACGAACTTAGACACGGTTAAGGTGCACACACGGTTCAGCGGGTCTGATTGGCAGGCACATGGTGAGGCGGCATCACGGAGGAGATCTTGGATGAGCAAAGCCTGTTGGGTATTGCGGTTGAAGAGAGCTAGGTCGTTGACGGCCCGCCGGTGCGAAAGGGTCCCGAGACTGTCCATTAGATAAGAGTCATCGATCAGTTGGATAGCCCTCTTCTGAACAACATCGAGCATGGATAGTGTAGTTGGGGCTACACCACCCCAGACGTGTGAGCAGTATTCGGCGCTAGGTCTTACCTGGGAATTGTACACAGTGAGAAGGTCGTGTGGAGAAAATCACTTCTTAGCCTCGCTTTTTCCCAGTAGCTGGCGATATTGGTCAGATGTGTTTGTGCCAGATTAAGTTCTCGGTAATCTGAACTCCGATCAGCCGATATGAACGGTTCTTTGATAGAACTCGGCAATCCATCGAAACCGAATGAGCGATAGGGCGTTTCTGTCTTTTGAAAGCATTACACTCTACCAGATTGTTGCGTCTCCAAGCAGTGATAACCTCCAGGACTCTCGTCAGAGATGAAGTCGCTGCTAGTCTTTTTCTCTCCAGCTCGCTGGCAGAAATCGGCTTGTAGCTTAACTTTCAGCAGTACAACTTGATACGTGTTTGACACCGACTAGACTCTCAAAACATAACCTCAAAGGTGGTATGTCATCAGCAACTAACATATCCATATAGCCTATTTCACGAGTATCCATCATGCTTGGACGTCTACTCGTGAAATAGGGTATAGATACTTGTAGTTGATAGAGGTAGTATGTCTCTTATCAGTTTAATATAGCTCTTTTATCAACTGAAATAATAGCAGAACTCAGAGCCAAAATAGTGGAACCAACACGGCCGAACACTATTCCTCCTCTTCTTTGATTAAGTAGGTTTGAGGGGAGAGAAATGTTTTGTAGATTATTTTTGTCAGAACAACGTACTTTTCACAAACATGTGTTAGCAATTGGAAATTGGGAGATTTGAGTTATGTTTTGCACGACTATTACTCGTATTTTCGTGATTTGACACTTTCAGACTTCCGACTATTCCCTTTGGAGATATTTCTTTCTGACAAGCGCTTCTGGTTCGATGAAGACGTGAGAACGTCGTAGATGAATATATATTATGTTGAAAAATAAAATAATTTTTTAACTGAAAACGTCTTTCATTGTCGGTCTAAGGATTTTTCAAATTACACTCGTAAAAGGGTTATTGTCTGCTCTGCCATCGATATATTTCTGATTTAGCCTCAACTGGTGTCGACTTCTGTTGGCTTAAGCGTGCGGAAACTTTTAAACATGGTGTACGTCCAATGAATATTGGATGAGTATCTACTTTTTTTTAGTTTGCAATGACTATTAACCCTTAAAGAAAGTATAACAAAGTAGTTATTAAATTAATACATTTGTTGAATAGATGTATATGTATCCAAAGGTATTTAATGCTAGAGAAAATAAAAAGTAGTATTTTTACTGTTTTTCTAGTCATTTTGTTTATAATCTTTAAGTTTTATGATTTTTTTTCTAGGATTAATATGTGACCAAATAATAAGAATATACATGTAAGATAAGTCTGAATAATTGTTGAATACTCCTTAAACATGTGATATATTATAATTGTTTTAGTCGTATTTATACATATAAGAATATAGGTGTTGTAACGAACATATATACAGAAAATATTTAAAAACATAATGGTCCAGTAACTTTTCCGAAGTATTTATTCCAAATATTATAGTGCAATACTTTCCAGATGCAGTTTAAAAATCTACAGGCCAAAAGTCAGGTAAATGTTTAGGGGGCATCTTGAGTTTTGAGATAGAGGCTTTTGATATCGTGAATGAAAAACTAAACAATTAATTTTCCGCGAAAGCCGTATGTCAGCGAAAAGAACGTCAGATCTACTTGAAAGCAATTGAAAATTATAAAAGCAATATTTGTTACGGAAAGAAAACAATGGCGAGCCTTATTTTACCCATTTTACCGTATTTTGTCAAAATACCTAAAGTATACAATAAACAACAATGGCGTGAAGTAGGTTGACTCTGCACTTCCCACGCAACGCTGTCATCAGTTCATAGAGGATCATGTTAGGTACAAGTTAGATTCTATGAGAAAAAGTTAGCAACGAACATGAAAAAACGGATCAAGTCAGTCAAACAGGTCCATACAATTAGTACACGGACTTTTTTCCTATCCTACCGGTGGTACCGCCCATCTGGCAACGTCGCCCTTCCGCCATACCTTACCGTTCCATGTATCCACTCTTCAGACTCGGCAGCTTAGTAGTGACACAACGATATTCAAAGGGGAGACTATATCGCCGGTCAAGCCAGAGAGAGAAGCGTTTCGAAGATGCTTGAGTGATTTTTATTATTTCAAGTTTGTGCCTCCAGCTCCGCCGCCACAAGATCGATTTTCAAAACTAAAAGGTTATTCGTCGTTCGTCCGAGTAGGTGAAGGATTAGCGTCCAAACCTATTTTAGACATTTTTTATGATTACAATAATTCCTCGCCAGTGGCGTAGGAAGTGAAAGGTTGTTTTTTCAAGTCATAGGTCCACATGCAGTTTTTTTTACTTCAGATGAAACGAAGGATCGTCCCTTAAAATGTTTTCCTAGCTTTTGGAACACCCTGTATATATTATGCCTAGGTGCTTCACTTGAAAATAGTGGATGCTTTCTTGATTGATCAGTTCGATAGTTGATGTTCTGCTACAGTTCAGAAAAGTTGTAAGGACATTTTAAGAAACGAATATATCATCGCGTCATTGGTATTAAGATGAAAAACGAATTTCGAGCTTCGTAACTATACTACAGCTTTTCCAACTATATGATGCTTGTTAAGGGATTGAGTGTGGATTTGAAAGTATAAGACTGATGCTTTAGTGTAGATAATTAGTTGTGACTTTAGATGAGGTGCTATACTGACCATATGAGATACTAAGGAGTGTTTGCATTGGTATTTGATTTTATATATTAAAATTGCCATATCTGCTTTCTTTCTAATTCCTTAACACTTAAAGACATTTTTGAACTGGTGGTGTTTTTTGGAAATGTTCTAAATAAATGGACTTCGGTCATTATATTACGTATTGACTTTAACACATATTCATATTATATTTGAAATCTGCATTTTTGCATAGAAACAAATCGTTTTTCGTTATTACATATGATTTATACAAGGAGTACCATCTTAAAGTTACTGGACTATAAACAATTTGTGAACCTTTTAAAAACATAACATTTTGGAGTTTTGTTTCCAGAACAAAATAAAAAAACTGTTTTACTTGTTGAATATGCTTTCGTTTTATTTTAAAAAAATAAGTTTGGAATCAATTTGTAGAAAAAAAACTGTTTTACTTGTTGAATATGCTTTCGTTTTATTTTAAAAAAATAAGTTTGGAATCAATTTGTAGAAAATGTTGAATTTCGTTGTAGGTGTTGTCCAACTTTTCCACAAATTTTGGTATCTATTGTTGGAATTTGTTGAACTTGGCATTTTTGAACGCGGGATGCCCCAGATACAAGTCATTTTTGCTTTGGTCCAACATGGCTGCTAACTATCATTTTTAACTAAAATACATTCTGTGACATTACTTCTGTAGGATTACTGATTTTGTAATAATTTTGATTTGTGCCATTGTTGGTCAAGGAAAACACAAACGATTGAGAGTCGATCTTTAGGAATAACAATTATCAATATTTAAGACATATTTTTCGTCTATTCATCGATTTTAGTAATGTTACAATGCAGTCATGTTAGAGAGGCCAATGCAATCACAAATAAGAGGCATTCTGTGTTTTTAAAAATCTTAAGAATATGATTGCAAATAAGTTCCGAAATCATGGAAAAATCAAAATGTAACTTATATACACGTGATTCCAATAGGAATATCTGAATACCGACTATTTGTTAAAATAATTATACAATGTATTATGTATAGCGCCCAAAGTATAAAGTGGCTAGTCAAGGAACCATGTACAATAATCCAAAAAATGAACGAACATTTAAAAAAGTTACCTTCGTTTCAGTTTTTTCTCATTTTTGATGTTTAAGGAGAAATGTCATCTTTGTGCAACACAAAATTATTAAAATTACCATAATTGAGTATATTTTCAAAATTAACATGCGGATTTTATCACATACCATCGCTACGTTTTGTCATATTTTTTAGCTAAATTGCTATTATTTTCATACTGTTTGCAGCTGAGACCCCAGTGAAATTTGTTTTGTAAAGATCAAGGGCTAAGAGTAATTTGAGCTGAGTTTTTATATTGAGATTGAATATGCATTCATCTGTATTACACCAAGTAAAATTTAACCTTCGTAGTTTTTTGTATACAGAAAACTTAAGTGCATAGCACTGAATGCTAGGATTTTTGCCTCAAATATATTTACGGTATGGATACAATTTATGTCACATACAATTATTGTTCAGTTTATTTTGAGTTGTACAAAGATGAAAATAATTCTCATACTACATATAGAATTATATGTATATGTAATTTGTTGCAAATGTTGACTATATTTTATAATTATTGTTAATTTTAGAGATATTGATTGGATTGTATCTATGTAAGTATTGAGTAGTATTTTATCTGACGATTAGTATTTTATTTTAATTTTGTTTAGAATAATATATTACGTATATGATATTAACAAAATTGTAACATCAACCTAACATATCACCAATTTAATGAAATATACATATTACTTACAAAACCATAGTTTTATTTATTCACCTATTATTATACCACGAAGAACTTTGGCACTTGAAATGTAGTCATGACGAAAATTTGGGATTCTATTTGGAGTATTGAAGAGCCCTCGTAACAAGAACTTTGGGCTACCAATGAGCCGTCCTTGTAACATTGACGCTTAGATAACCAGAATTATGCGGCCATATATGAAGCGCGCTCGCGTTTGATTTCTTGAGCTTTAACACGCATCAAGAGAAATCGCGCGCCATCTACCAGCTTCAAAGACGGATCGACTTCTATCTAGAAAACGTGGGACGCTTCAACACTCGCCGATTCGTGCATAAATGCCCGCCCAGAGGGCGAAAGAGGCAATGTCTCAACATCCTATAATTCAGTCATGGTTATAAATGACGTCAAGTAGTAAAAACGGTTTTTACGTTGGAGTATAAATAATTGGAGCAACTAGGCACAATATATTTGCAAAATTTGGATTTTTGGAACAGTCGTACTTCTAATGCCGAAATCCATGGCGGCGTCTTACCCTTCCACAACCATCATGCGTATCAAGACAGAATGGCGATTCATCGTTGAAGATAACATTATGCCATTCTGCCTCCCAATGCTGCGGTTCTCTGCTCCAGTTCAAACGTCGACGACAGTGGTCCGCAGTCAGAGGAAGCACTAACTGTGGACTGTTTGAAAAAAGTCCAAAGGCTCCAAGGCAGCGATAGAGTGTATGCATAGTAACAGGTCTACCTTAGACAGTTCAAAAATCGGATTAACTAAATTTATTTGGGATCCTCATAGCAGCCGCGGTGTCTCGGCATTTAGGCTACTGCCTGCGCGGCTGCTTCGGCAAAAAAACATAGATAAAAGGTTGACATTGTTGACACCGCATTCTTTAATATAGTCATTATGTTGCCAAAAACACAAGTTGAAACTATGTTTTCTTCGTAGCTAAGCGCTCCAGAATATAAGGCTGCTCGATCAAAAATGGTTTGCGGCACCACCTAGGAATTAACATATTGCTTAAATTCTCCTTTTCTAATTGGCCATTATGAAAAAGTGATATAAAAGCAGGTATGCTAAGAAGCTATTAACATAAATGTAAATTCGAACTTTTGTATGTAAATAGCTCTCGTTACTCCAATATGTTCGGTTGGTCACATTACTTTCATCCTAAAGGTATGAACACATATA